CCCCCTACATGGTTCTGGGATCCTAGTGTTTGAAAGATTTCAATGCTTGGCTGAGTTAATTTCTGACTCTCATGGTGTTCTCTCCAAAGCTGGCCTGGGACTGGTGTTCTGGGTCCCTGTGAGGTTTTGGGGTTTTGACTGTCCATCCCACACTCTTCTTGAGCCTGTCCTCTGTTGATATTTGAATGGAGATCTGAGCACAGCTAATACCTCTCCCATTGCCTTCCCCTGCCCACTGCTTTTTTCCTGACTCCTCCTTGGTGGCCATGGTGAGTGGAAAGCACTTTAGGAAGAAATCCTACTGTTGATATAAGTCAGTGATCTTTCTTCTTCTTTCCTTTCCTCCTCATCGTCTGCCCTCCTGAGCCAAATTTCCTTTTAGTTTAGTGGAAAAGCCATTGAGAGTAGGGTCAGGTGCAACGCCTGTGAAAAGGAAGCCCTGCCATGGGGACTTTATGATGACCATCCAAACACAGAGACTTCAAGGGCATTTTAATAATCTGGATACTCATAGAGTTTCAGTACAGGCATAATGAGGAATTGATTGATTGGTTTGGGAATTTATTTTCTAATTTTTAGTAAAAGCCTCCTAGCCTATGTGTACCATTTTTAAGCTTTCTTGGATCCTTGAGGCATTCTGAGGTACCCTTCATCTTAGCTACTGTGTTAACTAAACTCTTTGACATTTAACTTCTAGCTCCACCATAATAATGGAGACCATAGAATAGGCTCCAATATTTTTCTTTGGGGAGATGTGGGATTGAATTAAATGTACCCACTGGATGTTTTTAAGCAGTTTAAAACCAGGGCCTATTAGATTATTTTGCCCTGGTTTTAAACTGCTTAAAAACATCCAATGTTTTTGTTCATTTTGCAAAAATATGTTTGTGGAGAGGGAAGAAGTATTTGAGGATTTGTGGCTGCACATGCCCCACATTCTCATCCATATTGTCTTAGGACTATTGACTAAAATTAAAGCATTTGGTCCAAGAAAACCCTTACTTTCCTCCCAAGGGAATACTTGCATTTGCTATAGAATTTTCTCTTTTCCTATATCATCATTTCAAATTTTCTGGGTCCTTTAGGACTGTGTTAAGCTTTGTGTGGGCTGATAGCCAAGATGGAATTTGGCTCTTAGAGAATCAACCTGTGAGAAATTTCGGGGAACAGTTTATGCAACCCCCTGCTTACATTGCTAACCCAGTGTGTGGGATAAATTTCCAAAGGTTCACCAAGGAAGAAGATGTAATTTTCTGTTGAATCATTATGCCTAAGACTTCTGAGCTTGAGTCTTCAAGAAGAAATCATTTATATATGTATATGATTTGGATAATTTGTAACTGCAATTTCGCTTGCAAAACAATTTAGACATGTATCATTTTCTGCTATTTTAAATTCACCAAATAAATAGAAAATATTCGTTTCTAGATATATGGCATTTTGTACATATTACAAGCTGTTAACTGAAGGAAAAATATTGTATGATTCTGTTTCTGTGAGGTACATACAAAAGGCAAATTCATAGACACAGAAAACAAGATAGAGGTTACTGGGGGGTAGAGAGAAGAGAGAATGGAGAGTTATTGTTTAATGGGTATAGAGTTTCTGCTGGGGAAGATGAAGCTTTGTTTATAGATAGTGGTGATGGCTGTGTAGTATTGTCGAATGTATTTAAAATGTAATTGAATTCTATACTTACAAATGGTTAAATGATAGATATTACATGTATAGTTTACCACAATACAATTTTTTAACATCTAAGAAGATACACACACACAATCACACACACACACACACACACACGCGAATATAAGCATTCATAGGCTTCAGATTAATTTTGTCTCTTCTCCCTAATTTATTATAGAATGCAATAGGAAGAAAACCAATGATAGGTTAATTTTATTTTAGGATTAAAAAAAATCTTCATGGATTTTGTCTGGCTTACCATTTGAGGTAGAAGACTCTTCGTGTGTGCAATTCTTTATAACTCTTAGAAAATATTTCACTACTAGGTTTACTTATTTGTAAAATCTAAGACCCTTTTTATGTTGTTTCATTATGGAACAAGGTTATGTTCAGGATTGGATAGTTCTCAGGTACAGGGGAAGGCAACCTTGAATTGAAGCTCAATTCTCACGGAAAGCGCTTTTGGGGAAAATTTCTTACCATTTTTGCAATGCAGGCCTTGAGGAATGTGTAAATTCCTTAAGCTCATTACTTCACTGAACTGTAATTTAATGTGCCTTTTCTTTTCATGATAAGAAGTAGCCATGTGAATAGCTGTGATATGATTCCATAAAATTCCTCTTAAGTCACATTCATAAGACAGAGAAGAAAGTAAAAATATTCTTGTGGAAGTCGTCATTCATTTATGACTAAAAAACCATAAAACTATAAAAAGAGGAAGCACATAACTGCTTCCTTCATATGATGATATAAATCGATCTCAATTTTATAGCCAGTTGCCTATTTAAAAGGGATGCATTAGAGACACTGACATTAAAATAACCCCAGGAAAAGGAAGCTTGGTTATCACCCCTGCCTTGAACGTAATTCTGGAAGTGCTAGCTCATGCAGACAGGTGGAAATTGAAAGTTTGTATATTGGGAGGAAAAGGGAAAACTTCTCATTTGTGGGTGATATAATTGTCGACATTGAAAACCTAGGATGGTCAACGGCAATTCAGAGAACTAGTAGGAGCTCAGTGACAACTGGATATTAACTTACAAAAATCAACGTTTCTGCTTATATCCCAACAAGAAACTACTGTAAAATGTAATGGAAATAGGATTCCATTCATGATATAAAAGGCAATAGATAAAATGCCTTACACAGTACTTCATGTACAATGGTCACCAAAATAATTATTGAGCAAATAAAATAATAGACATATGCTAGGTCTTATATTTAGAATATTGAGAAGCTTTTAATCCATAGGAAGACACACTGTTTTCTTAGATGGGAAGGCAGCATTATTTTCCCACTAGGTATAAAGGTGCTCTCATACCAATAACAAAGTATAAATTTTTTTCCCAGAGAGAATAAGAGAATTCCATTAAATACATATCCAGGGCAATTCTGGTTTTTGTTGCTGTTCAAGAGTAATGGGCGAGAGATGCACTGCTTTACAGGTGTTGAGAGGTTATAAACTTAAAGAATGGACACTGCATAGAACAGATGTCAGGGAGGGGAATGGGAGCCTGGAGATGGAAGCATCTTCTGTTTATGGGGCCTGAAGTACAGCAGTGAGGGAGGCAGAACACAGGCTTACCGGAGGATCTTGCGGGAGTGAGGTGGAAGCACCTGGGTGAAGCAGAAGCACGTGGGTGAAGCAGAAGCACCTGGGTGAAGCAGAAGCACAGGGGAGGTGGAAGCACTTGGGCAAATGGAAGCACGTGGGTAAATGGAAGCACCTGGGCAAATGGAAGCACCTGGGCAAATGGAAGCACCTGGGTAAATGGAAGCACGTGGGTAAATGGAAGCACCTGGGTAAATGGAAGCACTTGGGCAAGGCTGAGGCTCCTGAGGAGGCAGTGTGTGCTGAGACACAAGGAAGGCTTTTTCTCTTTTCTCTCCCCATCTCTTGAGCTGAAGCGTAGGAGCTGCATTCCAAGAGAAACCCAAGGATTAGTGCGCGCGAGAACCGGCTTGGGGACTCCAGACCAGAGCGGTAGGAGGGGGAGCTGAGGTCCATATTAAGGACCCCTACCCTGTCCTACAGGGAGCACTAGGATGACTGGATGTTAGGCGGGGGTCTGCTTGTGTGAGCCCTGGTGCCTGTTGAAGGTGTTGTGACTGACACTAATCCCGCCTCACGTTTGCAGCCCACAGCCCCTTGCATTCAGGAGTTCCTCACCCTTCTGGCCGTGTGCCACACGGTTGATAACAAAGTATAAATTTTTTTCCCAGAGAGAATAAGAGAATTTCATTAAATACATATCCAGGGCAATTCTGGTTTTTGTTGCTGTTCAAGAGTAATGGGCGAGAGATGCACTGCTTTACAGGTGTTGAGAGGTTATAAACTTAAAGAATGGACACTGCATAGAACAGATGTCAGGGAGGGGAATGGGAGCCTGGAGATGGAAGCATCTTCTGTTTATGGGGCCTGAAGTACAGCAGTGAGGGAGGCAGAACACAGGCTTACCGGAGGATCTTGCGGGAGTGAGGTGGAAGCACCTGGGTGAAGCAGAAGCACGTGGGTGAAGCAGAAGCACCTGGGTGAAGCAGAAGCACAGGGGAGGTGGAAGCACTTGGGCAAATGGAAGCACGTGGGTAAATGGAAGCACCTGGGCAAATGGAAGCACCTGGGCAAATGGAAGCACCTGGGTAAATGGAAGCACGTGGGTAAATGGAAGCACCTGGGTAAATGGAAGCACTTGGGCAAGGCTGAGGCTCCTGAGGAGGCAGTGTGTGCTGAGACACAAGGAAGGCTTTTTCTCTTTTCTCTCCCCATCTCTTGAGCTGAAGCGTAGGAGCTGCATTCCAAGAGAAACCCAAGGATTAGTGCGCGCGAGAACCGGCTTGGGGACTCCAGACCAGAGCAGTAAGAGGGGGTCCATATTAAGGACCTCTACCCTGTCCTACAGGGAGCACTAGGATGACTGGATGTTAGGCGGGGGTCTGCTTGTGTGAGCCCTGGTGCCTGTTGAAGGTGTTGTGACTGACACTAATCCCGCCTCACGTTTGCAGCCCACAGCCCCTTGCATTCAGGAGTTCCTCACCCTTCTGGCCGTGTGCCACACGGTTGTTCCTGAGAAGGATGGAGATAACATCATCTACCAGGCCTCATCCCCAGGTGAGGACTCTGGCCGGGTGCCCCCAGCTGGCCCCTTCTCAGGAGACCTGGGTGTTGCAGTTATTCTTGGAGATGCTGCTGTGTAGTCCGCCCCATAGACCCAGCTGTCTTCTGTTGGCCTCGTCCTGAGGCCAGGCTGTGGCTCCAGATGCAAAGCCGTAGAGAGCCCGGGATGGGCTCTCCTGACTCTCATAACCCCTTTTTAACAGCAAAGGGAGGACCCCGGTTATGTTGCATTTCCTGGCAGAGGTCATTGGGCTTGACAGAGCTCTGAAGAAAGAACAGAGCTGGCTTCTTCCTCATCCTCCCCGCCTCACAGATTTTCTACCTGCTGGGGAAGCTGTGCATGGGGGTTCTCTTTACCCACTTCCTGGGGCTTGGGAATCCCACAGCACAACTAAAATACTGCCCTGCTCAGAGGAGGTGTTTGGTGGGAGCCATGGAACTATGACTTAGGTTTATCGGAGAGAACTTGATCCCAAGCGAGAGTAGCAAGAATAGAAATCATTCTTGTCCTGGTGAATTAGCATAGATCCAAGCCCTCCACCTAACAGAAGTGCTCATTTCAGAACCCTGGTGGTAGGAAGAGCAAGCGCTTCTCTACCCCGAGTCCTCACTACTGCGCAGATAACACCAGGCCTCCTTCAGTAGAGCGGGTTTTGTTAATTTGAGAAGGGACACTGAACAGAATTCTATCACTACCAGTGATGTGTCAATGTTTCCCCAACTCCCAATTGACAGATGAAGCTGCTTTGGTGAAAGGAGCTAAAAAGCTGGGCTTTGTCTTCACAGCCAGAACGCCGTTCTCAGTCATCATAGAAGCGGTGAGTAACGCGTGTGTGCACGTTTCAGATCACCTACTTCTGTGAAGATTGTGCATGTGAAATGGCATGTCTGTTGTAAATGATAGCTGAACTTCTCTTTTGGGTGAAAAATCAGACCTGTGAAAAACTGGAGTTAATATGATTGTATGAGCTTGTTTGAGTTGTTTGGCAATGCAGTACTGTTTCGCCCTTGAGGATGCTTTTCCACATGTCTTTCATACACTGATGTGAAATTATTTGTAGCAAAGAACTTCACAAATCTACTCTTTGTTCTATAATAATTGGGAAAATAACTTAGCGGTCCACTTGTCTTTGAGGGCAGGTTCTACGTCTCTTCGTAGCCTCAGAGCCCGAGTTCTTACTCAGTGAAGCCTCACAGTCCACTGGGCTTCAGAAGTCTCTTCAGCTGGGGGAGGAGTCAGAGTTAAGATCTGTCTCTCTTTTTTTTTTTTTTTTTTTTTGAATGTAGTCTCACTCTGTTGCCCAGGCTGGAGTGCAGTGGTGCTATCTCGGCTCACTGAAACTTCTGCCTTCCAGGTTCAAGCAATTTTCCTGCCTCTGCCTCCCGAGTAGCTGGGACTGACTACAGGCACGTGCCACCACGCCCGACTAGTTTTTGTATTTTTAGTAGAGACGAGGTTTTGCCATGTTGGCCAGGCTGGTCTCAAACTCCTGACCTCAAGGGATCCACCCGCCTTGGCCTCCCAAAGTGCTGGGATTACAGGCTGAGCCACTGTGCCCGGCTTTGATCTTTTATCTGTATGAGGGATCCCCCCTGCAACTGAAGTCAAGGGGTTTACATATTTTCTGATTTTCTTCTGAGTTTCCCTACTTACAGGCCAAAGGGAGAAATTTAGTGATAGAAAAATAATTATATCAACAAGAAGATCAAATACAGACCTTCGGAATGGGCAACGGGGGAAAACGGTGGTTACGACTGGTGAGGCGGTGGTGTTTTTCATGATAACCAGTTAGGAGGGCTGTTTTGTTGTTGTCTGGATTGATGATGAGGGTCTGGGGCTAGTCCCTGCCATCCCTTGCCTTTCCCTCCCCTCCTTTTGGGGAAGACTCGGGAATTATAGTTTTTGGCTTTGTGGCTGCATCCTTAAATCCATAGACCTTTAATGCATTTGAAATTCATTTCCAAACGGTATAATGACTTGATATTGTTCCTGACTTGGGAGTACTGTAGTAAGTTTTTTCTTTTAGTTATATGCAAAACCTATAAAATATCATATCTTATACAAAGTATCCATTTATTGGCATCTTCAGTTTCTTATGGAGTACAGAGATGAGATCCTGTGGTCATGTTTACTTTTACTCTGCTTATTTTAGTCAACAGGGAATTTAGCTTAGGGAAAGGTACCATCATTAAAAGTAGAATGAAGTAGTGATTGAATATAGAATTTCCCTTACAGAAGCTTTTTAAAAATGAGGTCTTTTCTCCCCTTCAGTTGGAGGAGAATTTTAATCTTAGCCGTAGGATTTTCAGTTGTGTGGGTGCTGCACGTCTCTGCATTTGCAAAAATGGAGGTTGGGAGTCGGGAGCTTGGATCATAGGTGAGAGAGACAGAAGAGAACAGGTGCTTCCACTTCACTCACAATGCCAGGTAAATGTGGAACCTAGAGAGCCTATTGGTGTCATCCTCCTGGTGTTATATGCTGCATTGACCCCTCTTTGTTACCTCATTACAGTTTTAAGGTCATATTTCTGGGGATCACAAAAGACTACCTGATTAGTTAGGACTCGTAAATAACAATAATAAAAAGAATCCTATTCAACCATTCATCAAACCACCAATTCTCAAATTTAGGTTTTGCATATGAGTAAAAGAACAAACTTACTGCTGTACTACCAAGTCAGGAACGAATTCTCAAATTCCTACATATTTACATGAAGTGTCCTCGCCAGTAGTCGGAACAGCCATGTCCGTGGGCTGCAGCTGGAGGTGGTTGGTGTAACTGTGGTGCGGAGAGGAGGTGGCTCCTGGGAGTGGCAGCGCTGGTGCTGGGTGGTGGTAGTAGCACCGGGTGTCTTCTGAATGGGAATATGCTGGAAAGTTGGGACAGTCTGTGGAGAAAGGGAACGCGGAATTCATGGTTCTGGAGAGGTGAATAAAGGTTGAGGAAGGCTAGATGAAGTGGATCATTAGTTGTTTTGTGGGATGCAAAGAGAAGGAGTGGAGAGTTGTGGGTGTGAATGAAGATAATGATTCCGTCATATACTTGGTAATTTGAATGTGTTACTTCAGTGATTACTTCTCTGAACCCTAAAAGACAAGTGCTTTTGCCATGCATAAGAAAGTCACACACTTAGAGGCAGAAACTGGATTCAAACTCACACGTATTGGATGCCAAAGGTCACGTTCTTTCCACTACGAAGTGTTGGGGAAATGGAAAGATTAGATTAAAAATTTGAAAATAGCGTACACACCATCTGGAATTTTTAGATGGAAAAAAAATCGTGAATATTGACATTCTAACTTGAAAGAACCCAAAGAGCGAGCGTTTGATTGATTGCTCTGAGACCAGGTACAGATTCACCATCTCTTTATCTGCAAATTCAAAACCAAATGCCTTTGAATTCCAAAAGATTTTTTCCTAAGTTTGGCGAATAGTTATTTGGCAGCAAAACCTAATCAGAAGCGATGAGGCTGTTTATGATCTTTATGAATCTCACTTCCTGTGATATGCATACATTTTGCTGGAGAACGTGGATGTGCTGTATAACAGCATTCCCAGACCCTGCTGGGGACATTATGGTAGATGGTCTAGAATATGCGTATATTTTTATAAAATTTGTAAAATCCTGAATTCAGAAGCATAACTGGGCCAAAGGTTTCTGACGGACCTGGGCAGCTGGTGTCCTTTATCTGCATCTCTTGGAAATGTCTACACCAGCCAACTGTTAGGCCAGCCTTAGCACTGAAGAAACATGAGAAGCTTCCACCAGAAGAGGGAGCTCTGACCCCACCAGACTTGTGAGAAAACAGTACATGTAGCAAAGGGCTAGAAGGTGGGAAGAGAGAGAGCCTACGTCTGTTTATGTTTTGGAGACTATTGCTTTGAGATTTTAATACTCTGCACCTTGGGTAAGATCCTGTTTTTCTTCGTTTAGATGGGACAGGAACAAACGTTCGGAATCCTTAATGTCCTGGAATTTTCTAGGTATGTTTCTCTTTCATACATTGGAAATAAAATAATTATATTTATTTCCCAACTTCATCAGAGTGTTTACATGATTGCATGGTATGATTCAATATAGTACTTAAGTGTTAAATGTAATAAATGTATCTCCATAAACTCTCTTCTCCTTGGAATTTGTGACTTACATTAAGGAAAGTGAAGCAGGTTATTTTTCTTGCTTTACTCAAGAGAAATGCTCTACTTCCATGTCCTCCTTTTTCTTTAGATTTCCAGAGCCTGATGTTCTTGCATCAGCAGCTGCAGACATGTCTGAATAGTTTGGAGCATGTGATGAGGGCATTATTTTCATTGGCATTTCCCAAGTCCCATGAGGTCATTCCTCTTACTCCATCTGAGCACTCCTCTGGAGACCTGAGAAACTGACGAATGATGACAGATGAGATCAGTTCATCTCATTAGAGGCTGGGTCCACGTAGGGCAGTTTTCCTGGACTTATTCGGAAGCGTTCTTCCCCAGTACAATTTTGAAAAGTAAGACCCAGGAATATTTGTTGGACTTTTTTGTTCACATAGAACATTCATTGTTATAAGGAAACATATCTTTTTTGTTTGCCTCTTTTTAACATGGAATTGTCAGTACTAAAGCAAAGTTCTATTGCTATCTCAAAAGCATCTTTTCCTACGATTAATATTAGGTGGATTTTTCAATAACCTTTGTTAAACGATTCACAAATCGTTTGCTCTGTTTTATAAGCTATTTTTTAATAAGGATTAGTTTTTTATCTTTGTGTAGGAAATACTTTCTAGCCCTAGTCTTTAGTTTTAGGACCGCAGGCTTGGACTTGGAACCATGGGGAGGGGAGGAGGGATGGTTGATGACGGTGGTGGCTCATGTAGGAAGTGGTGACGGCGTCCCTGCGTGTAGAGGTGAGCGACGTGCTAGGCATCTCTCCAGACTGTTTCGTGCCCCATCTTTTGTTGGAAACTGTGCAGTGTCCTGTGACTGCATTAACTGGGACCAGCAGTTATTGGATAGGCGAGGCGGAGAAAAGAGAGTTAGATAAAAACAGGTGACTATGGATAGAGACACAAGGATGTATTAAAATGTATTTATGGGAGAATAAGAAGGAACAGAAAGATAATTTGTGGTTATAGTGGTGAGTCTATTTGTTTTTCACGGACTCAACTCTTTCCCGGTGACACTTAATCTTGATGATACTCCCTTAAAGTAGTTGCTTTACACATTGAGAAACTGAAACATGGGTTTTAAGAACGGCCAGGAGTGCCCACCTGTAAGATGGTTGAGAGAGAAAGCAAATCCAGGTCAGCTAGAGCGCTAGGGGTTAGGATGTGGGAATTTATCCAGAACTGAAGGGAGACTGTCCCCCAGTCTTAGAGACTTACAGTCCATTGGGAACCATCACACTGAAAGGCCACAGAGATGGGGAGTGTAGGGCCCTCTGTAGTTGGAGTGTGCTTCAGGAGGTTGAAATGTTGGCAAAGGAGGATCAGAATGTGGAGAAGAGGAGAATGGTGAGTCCCGTGTGTGCTCAAAGCCTGGCAGTCGTGCATGGGAGGGTTGGTGGGAGATGAGGCGAGGCTGCACAGGTGGACGGAGAGCAGTGAGAAGAATTCGTGGGCAGTGGAGACTCACTGAGGACTCGGTGGGTGAGAATGGGCCAGGAGGAAAGACGTGTGAGGAAGTGTAGATGCTGCGGCGAGGGGAGGGAGAGTTCCTTGGTGCTGAGTTGGGAGTGTTCTGTGGATTTGTGGTTTCTTTCACTCCAGTTAAAAGATGACACAGGGAGGAGCTTCCGAGTTAAGTGGCTCTATACTGAGTCTCCCACTTTTGTACCTACTGGGCAAGTTACTTAATAGCTTAGAGGTGGAAAATAGAGAGTATTTTTAGAGAGTAGAGTCAGAAGTCAATCGGATGTGGGCTGTCAGTGCTAGAATTCTCCTTTTCTGTTTTTCCTACTGCAGATAGCAGTGCTAGTCCATTTTCATGGCAGGGAAAGAAATAGGCATATGCTCGTTAGATGTAAATAAAAAGTAGGAGATACACAGTTAGGTCCTACTTTGAAGAAAAAGGCAGGGAAAGATAGACCTTGGCCATTTTTAGGAGCCCCAGACCATCTTTTGTTCTGACTGGTGTTCAGCTGGGGGACGTGCATCCTGTAAACAGACCAGTGAAGACTTTTTAATTTTTTTCACTCTCCCAGTGACAGAAAAAGAATGTCTGTAATTGTCCGAACTCCTTCAGGACGACTTCGACTCTACTGCAAAGGGGCTGTAAGTATCGGAGAAGCGGTGTGCACAGCAGAGTTCTTGGCAGCTTTGTGAATCTGCTGCTTTTCCTAACTGCTTTCCTCATCACTCCCTGACTGCTTGTCCAGAGTGGAAAGGCTCTTTCAGGTGGGCTGTGAAGCTGACTTCGTAGTAAAAGCCCACTGAAGATAATGGTGGTTCAGGGCAGTGTGGCAAAGATGGTCAGTGCAAAGCTTACCTTTAGCCAATCGTTTGTTTCAGAAACAGTGACTCCATGTGTCATACAAAATCCTTGGAATATGAATTCTTATTCCACTTTTACCAGCATTGTGTTTTGACTTTGGGAAGATAAAGTAATTTGTGTTGACCTATGATAATCTTAAGTACTCTGATATATATTGGTTCTCTAGCACCTCTTCTTCTCAATTGTTATTTTTTTTTTCCATACATTATAGAGAACCGTGTTGTAGGTACAAAGGCAATGCCCATGTGTAACTACATGATTACTGCCCCTGTTAGTTTCCTAGGTCAGGCTTTGTGTCCTGTTTACCTTCTAGTAGCCAAATCTAAATGGTTTATTTCAAAGGAAAGATGTTATTGCTTATGAATCTTAATTTTAAAACTAGATCCTGTTAAATTGTAGTCTTACGTATTGAGGGAATTATTAAACTTATTTTATTTGACTATGTCAAGAATACAAAGCTCTCCTAGGATTAATTAGCGGTTGACAGTATTACTAATCTTTACCAGTTGTGGCAAGAAGGGTGGTTTTATTTGAGTACGTGATGACTAGAGCTTTTTACAAATGAAGGGATGCATGGGAATTCTAAAGACATTATATTTGTACTTGCGAAAGAATTCTGTGTTTATGGTAAAATGAATTAAGCTCATCTAGGTTTTGTTCTCATATGATATATTTTTAAAACTTTTTGTTTATTCATTTGCTATTGTGTTCTAAGTACCACATCGAGTACAACAAGTGTCAGTGTGAGGTGGTAGAGGAGGGCTGTCAGTATAGAAGAGGTACATATGAAAATGCTGCAAAGGTGTGTTTTATTTTTATAGGATTTAATTCTCTCCAAAACCAAACTCAGTTTAAAAAAAATTTTTTTAGAAGCCTAAAACTATGCAATTTGTAGCATATTTGATGGATTATCTGTGGGATCTGGTCCCCTAACCCTTCTTGTCAGTCATGGAAATAGTTGTAGGCAGATGAGCTGTGCACCGGTGTGTTTCTCGACAGAATTGAGTTCAGCGCCCAGTGGGTTGTGCCCTCTGCTGAGAATTGCCTCCCGTGTTGGGAAGCAAGGTTGTATTTGAGTAACTTAGAATGTACATTTTACCCTTTCCCCTTCTGCACAAGCACCTGATAAACTTTGGGATATGAGTTTTGCGAATTTTGGTGAATATAGGCCCCCTTGTGTTCCGATGATTCTCCCGTACTTCTGGTTCTCCCCAGCATATTTTTGTTTGGCTTTTAAGATACAGATTTTGGTTTTGTTGGACACATTCATACCCAATTTGTTTTCCAAAGCCAATGCCTGAGCCCAGACAAATGCTAAATTCCTACTTAACCACTCGGGTATTCTCATACATGTTAGATAAACAGAAACAAAGCCGTGCTTAGCGTGCTGGCTGGAAGGTTTACTGAAGGGTTTGCCAGTCACAACGTTTCCGTATTTTATAGGATAATGTAATTTTTGAGAGACTTTCAAAAGACTCAAAATATATGGAGGAAACATTATGCCATCTGGAATACTTTGCCACGGAAGGTAAGTGGAATTTGGAAATGCTGTTTTTGGCCATTGGAGCTGTACTTTCAAGCATGTTGTCTTGATTTCCAGGAGCACATTCTTCCAGTGCCTGCCCCATCCCCTCCTGTGCCCATGGCAGTGACAAGATGCATAGCCAAATCCAAACTCAGTTACCTGTAGATGCCTCTGTCGCTCATCAGCAGTGGAACGGAGGGAGAGGCAGGCCAACGCACAGCATGTAGAATCACCTTGAGTTACTAGTCCCTTTCTCAGAAAACTCGTGGTTGTTTTCCTGTCCCTCTCTTGGTGTCCTTATGTCACTGGCTTATCCGTGACTTAAGGAAATAATAATTCATGGAACCCATAGTGAGCAGGAAAGGAGTTCTCTGGAAGGCTGTAAATGACACTGGTGTCAGGTGTTCCTGCTAGCGAATGTCATGATAGCTGGAGCCATGCTGAAGTGCTGGCGGCCGCTTTCTGGCCTCTGGCTCTGCATGCATGCACTTGTGAGTACACACTGACACACGCGGATGGGTGCGGCTGCCTGAAAACCTGGATCTTTCATGGGATAGCACATGGGGCCTTTCCTTGCTGTCTTGAAACACACTTCCCACCTCCTCTGCTTGCTGCTGAAACCTGCCTACTGTGCATGGATCATGCACAGCTCCTGAACCTCTCTGCCATGGAGAATTCACTCTTCTGACTTCTTGTGCGCTCTCAGACTTACAGAAGAGGTAGTTTATATTAGAATACAGGCGAGTTGTTTTTACATTTCCCTTGGTAGATGTGGGAGTGTTGAATTAGAGTGACCTAAAGTAACGAGTCTCTTCAATTTTTTTGAGCATGCTGATGGGGAAAGGGAGCACAGGCTGTCCCCTAGGAGGTCACGCGTTCTGCCTGCCTCCATTCACCAGTGGCTGTCTTGCAGGCTTGCGGACTCTCTGTGTGGCTTATGCTGATCTCTCTGAGAATGAGTATGAGGAGTGGCTGAAAGTCTATCAGGAAGCCAGCACCATATTGAAGGACAGAGCTCAACGGTTGGAAGAGTGTTACGAGATCATTGAGAAGGTAACCGCACACAATACAGCCTTTACAGCTCCATGAGGGACTTAACCACCTATTTCACAAAGTCTTTGACCAGGAATCCTTTCACTACGTAGGGATGTTCTCTTTTCTTGTGTCTTAATGGACCAGTAGCTCTGAGTCATTTTCTTTGCTTTAGGAAGCACTTGATTTGCATGGTCTCTCTGAAAGGTCTAGCCACCCTCAGCTAAGCATTATTGATAGCTTAAGAAATATCAGGTCAAAAACAGCATCAATGACTTTGCTTAAGATTAGGCTTAATGAGATTAGCTCACGCTGTTGAGTTACAGGAGCAATCAGAATGCTGTGGAGGCTGGTTAGATGTTGTAATGCTAAGCTTTTTCGCACTAACTTACTCTAATGATACTTAAGCTTTGCAATGGCTACTCCACATTGTCTACTTTGATTTTATTGTTGTTGTTCTTTTCAGCTTATCGTAAGGCATTAGCTCACTTTCAATTTATTGGTTTCCTTCAAGTGTGGGAGCCAGATTTCAGCTTTTTCTGTTTCATGTTGGCAGCCATAGGGCCATCCAATTTCCAGTTTCTGTAACTTTTTTTTTTTTTAATATAGAGATGGGGTTTCCCTCTGTTACCCAGCACCCAGGCTAGAATGTAGTGGTGCAGTCATAGCTCACTACAGCCTCAAACTCCTGGGTTCATGCTAACCTCCCACTTCAGCCTTCCGAGTAGCTGGGACTACAGGATCATGCTACCATGCCTGGCTAAGTTTCATATTTTTTTTTTTGTAGAGATGGGATCTTGCTATGTTGCCCAGGCTGGTCTGAAACTCATGGGCTCAAGTAGCCCTCATGCCTGGGCCTCCCAAATCCCAAAGTGCTGGGATTACAGGTGTGAGCCACCATGTCTGGCCCAGTTTCCATAGCTTTGAAAATATCACCTGTTTGCTTTTTTTCATTCCTATGTTGGTTTTAAAAAATTCTCCTCTGCTTTTTTATACTCTGTTTTTGGTTTAAGTTTTATATTCAGTTATGTATATCCAGTCATTTTAATGTACTGAATTAAAATGAACTGAATAAAACTGAATTCAGGTGTTTATTTGCCCTGTTTTACTAGAAATAGCCCACATTATTTTTAGAATTAGAAAAAAGTGAATAGGTGACGTGCGTATGGTGGGTGCTCAAGAGGTAGCTGGATCTTCCCACAGTCTGTGACCAAGCAGAGGTGCTAGATCCTGGAGACACTAGGATGTGGGTACATGGAGCAGGTCCTTTGTGTAGTCTCTGAAATCTGCCAGACCAGCAGGCACAGCACAGGCAGCCAGAGGGAACCACACATCCACACCCATCCTCAGTGTGAGCTGATCTGCCCTGGACCTTAAAGAGCTCCAAAAGGGGCACCGTTTTATAGCTACCCTCGATCTTAAGATACTTGGATGTTTTTTTTTCTCTCACTGTTAAATCCTTAGCACCACAAGTCTCTTATTCCTATTTTGCTGTATCATCTAGAATTCTCATCATTTGTTAAATGTGATATAATGTGCTACTCATTTGTGGACTGAAAGGGAGGGCTCAGGTACTGTCAGTGTCCTTGGGATAACCTGCCCATCTGCTCTGCTGTAAGATGGTTTCTGTTCTAACAAGCCCCTGTGTCAAGAAATCAGTGATGAGTACTGGGCGGCCTGTGTCTGTAGAATGAGTCCAGCACTGCAAGGCATTTGGAAATGCCACCCATCCAGATGCCATCTGCAGACACAGGTGTAAAACAGAGGAAATAGAACAACTGTCTCAGAACAGTTTGATTGCCTTTGTCAGAATGTGTTAGTGCTGTTCTTAAGTATGTGCCAGTCTTTAACTGAGGATATTTTTTCAATCTAGAATTTACTGCTACTTGGAGCCACAGCCATAGAAGATCGCCTTCAAGCAGGAGTTCCAGAAACCATCGCAACTCTGTTGAAGGCAGAAATTAAAATATGGGTGTTGACAGGAGACAAACAAGAAACTGCGATTAATATAGGTAATGATTTTTACAAATAGTTTCCTGATGCTGGCTTTTGTATTCTAGTTTTTCGAGTATTTTGTAAATGTGTCTAAATGTTTCTCAAATTCATTGACACATGGTGTTTTATAGGACTCTTCATTCACAAGGCTAAGAAAAATTGACCCGAATCAAAGGAAGATGCCCTCATTCCTGTTACAAACATTAAAACCATCATAGTTCCTAGAAAAGAGTTAGACACACTTACATGGGGCATAGAATTCATGATTTGACAGCTTCGATTTTCTTATTGCTTTCTTCACAAGATTTTAGTCTGAGACTAAGAGAGCATGTTTTCACTAGATTTAAATATGCCTTATTATTTTATGTAATTATAACCATTTTAATGGTTTTGCCCATTAATGGACTCTTCTAAGAGCCTTGTGTCTTTCCCTGCCTAGCTTGGTTGACAACTTCCTTGCTTACAGAGCATCACAGAGATGAAAATTGAAGAAAAGGAATTTAAGTCAGGATAACTATGCCATTGTTAAAGGAGCACATTTTAAGTTTGAAAAGGAGTTGAAGCTACTCGTTTTTAAAAAATCTAATCTTGATTATTTGAAATATTTAAACATTATCTGGCACTTTTTTTTTTTTGTTTGAGACGGAGTCTTGCTCTTGCTCAGGCTGGAGTGCAGTGGCGCCATCTCGACTCACTGCAAGCTCTGCCTCCTGGGTTCATGCCATTCTCCTGCCTCAGCTTCCGGAGTAGCTGGGACTACAGGTGCCCGCCACCACACCTGGCTAATTTTTTGTATTTTTAGTAGAGTTGGGGTTTCACCCTGTTAGCCAGAATGGTCTCCGTCTCCTGACCTCGTGATCCACCCGCCTCAGCCTCCCAAAGTGCTGGGATTACAGGCATGAGCCACCATGCCTGGTCTGTCTGGTACTTTGATCACCATTATGGTGTAACAAGACCCGGTGCATATGTGGTAAAATGAGCACATAAGGACTGCATAACTTATAATATCTCGCTAGAAGTAGACTGTTTCTTTCTTTCTTTTTTTTTTTTTTGAGATAGAGTCTCTGTCGCCCAAGCTGGAGTGCAGTGGCGCAATCTCGGCTCACTGCAAGCTCTGCCTCCCAGATTCACGCCATTCTCCTGCCTCAGCCTCCGGAGTAGCCGAGACCACAGGTGCTGCGACCACACCCGGCTAATTTTTTGTATTTTTAGTAGAGACGGGGTTTCATGGTATTAGCCAGCATGGTCTCGATCTCCTGACCTCGTGATCCGCCCTCCTCGGCCTCCCAAAATGCTGGGATTACAGGCGTGAGCCACTGCGCCCGGCCAAAGTAGACTCTATTTCTGTATCTGTTTCTGTGTCTGTGCTCTGTGTGTTAGGAAGAAACCTACTAGAGCCTCTGTATTCAAGTGACTGGAGTGCTCTTCAGAGGAGTCTTCTTGGAATATTCTCAACATAATCCAATGGTGTCCCTTTCCTGAAAAGCTTATCTTTGAATCATCTTTGTCTCTCTTATAACCTCAGTTGTAAATAATACCTGCCTTCTTGGGTAAATTGGATTTTTTAAAAGACAAAAGCCGTGTAATCGTTTCTGGTCAGGAATATAGCTAATTAAATGGAAGGTGGGCTCCCAAACAACTGAAGTTAAGCTTACAAGAGAGTGACATAGGATTCATAAGCAGTCCCTGAAAAACCAGCTGTAGATTTTGTCCCTGGATTTGTGCTGGCTGTCACTCAGATGCGTGGTTTTGGAGAAGAGTATGATGGTATTTTAGTGCAGAATCATCACTGCTGCTAGAAAATACAAACCCAAGCTTACAGCCCTTTGATGTGTCGGCCAGCATTCTTACAAATGAAGAAGAACACATTTGCTTTTTGTATACTGTGTTTCTGTGTAAGTATATAGATTGACCCTTTATGTGTTATGTTTCATATAAGTTTGGCCTAAAACACCTGCTGTGGATCTGTGGCCCCTGTTCTTCACAGATGGCATGCTAAGTTGACTGCCACCCTGAAATACTTACCTAAAATGTAGGTGGCATGCCTTCCACCCTCTTAGAGCAATGTGAAAAAAGAGTGGGTAACTCCTCAAGTTAAAATTGAGCTGTATGATAACTTTAACCTGCAAACAGTACCTCAAATTTGCCCTACTATCACAATATAGCCTAGATAGAGTTTTTTGATGATGGGCCGTAAAATATAGTATCTTGGATTAATAAAATGATGACTTTCTCAAAAAAAAAAAAAATTGAGCTGTAAAGTGGTAACCTTTCTTAGTTTTCCAGATCTTGAGTGTCCCTGCTGGCCTAATAACCTATGCATGTCGCTGGCCCTAGACTAAACTACCTTCAGTGTGTTCTCGGATGTGCCCTGGCTGGAAAAGGGCCACGGCTCCCTCTCACTGCCTCTCATCCACACTACACTGCCCAGCCCCTGGGAGCACATGCAGCCTTTTTTTTTTTTCATGTTCATTTTGTTATACCTGAGTCTATCTAGCTGAATTTGGGATAAACACTGAAAGGCGCTGAAAATCAACCCAGAAAACACACATGGATTATTAATTGAAAAGGCAAGTTTTGCTTGTATGTGATGAGGCTGCTCTGAGCCTTATGAGATAATTGATACCATTCCAAACAATTTTTAAAAAATAACGATTGTTATTATTTTTTACTTTTTTCTAAGAGGGTGTAGTCATGTGTAGTGCTGGTGCCAGAACCGCTCGCATCATTTGCTATCTGTTAACTGATCTTTCTTAGCAAGTGCGCTCCAAGACAACTAGAGGATGATGCTTTATAACCTGATGACTTTTTGTCAAAGTCTTATGTTTACCATGGAGGCTTTCTCTATTCACATTTTATCTAGTGTATCAGTCAGATTCAAACACATCTTGGGTGTTACCAAGTAAGCTTCTAACAGCTGGAGAATTGATTTCTTTGTGAGAGCTGTGTCTGAATTGTTTCTTCACTTCACCTTTGGAACTCAAGCTTGTAGCCCTGGGTGATATTGAGAATTTAAATGTCGTTTTATGATTTAAGGTATCTGTTGAGCCTACAAATGATGCAGAAGGCTCAGGAAAGCATATACGTCCAGACATTTTATTAGACTTATCAGTGTCAGACCACAGGTGGCAGCTGTCAGCAGCATGAGGTCATGCTGTAGATACAGGGTGGGTTTCTAAGCCTGTGTTCTCGTCATATAGCCCTCATACCCCTGGTAGTATGAACCATTATTGACTTGTCTCCCGTAATACTTTACATTTTCATGCATCCTGTGTGGGTTTTAAGGTATCCAGAAGATATTTCGGAAGATCAAGTATCTAGCAGTTCTCCTTCTAGATGAAAAAAGGGAAACAGCAAATTAATGGAGTGTCTGGCAAGTGCCAGGCACTTGCTTCAAGATCACCTTCAAGCAGGAGTTCTGAAAACTCTTTTTAAAATTTTTACATATGAACAGTCTTAAAGCTCGAGGAGGAAATTCTACGTTTCCCAGGGCTATCCCCTACTTAATGACCAAACTGCTACTCGGTGTCAGGGCTCTTGAGTTCTGGTGTGGGGCTTATTTAGAGGGATTCACATAGCTTTTGCAAAAAATGTTTTCTGAAGTTTGATTTAAAAGACCATGGAGAATGGTAGTATATTTAATCTATTCCAAGGCGCACATTGTTGTTACATGTTAATGTCCCTGAAATGGGGATGCCTTATGGTTGTTGACTCTTACTCTTTTAATTGACAGCATTATCTTATCTTAGTGGTATGTACCGTAAGAGTTCATCTTTAGATTTGGTAACATTAATTACCTTTGGTGTTTGGGGGTGTTGGCTCTTTTTAGAGTTTTGGTTTTTTTTTTTAAAGTATATCTATCTCATAGTTTGAGAATTTATTTTTAAAGCTTAACATTTTGTTCATACCTTGGAAAAAAAATACACTTAGTCAAATCAAGTACTAGGACATATGTGTCTCCTGTGAGCCAGTGAATTTTATGTAGATAGACAATCATCTTGCGCATAGGTTTTAGTCGTTTGAAATGGGCATGTTGCCAGAATCCTGCAGCGCTGTGCTTGAATTTATGCTAACTAGCTGTGTTTTGAGGAGCTGGCGGTTTTCTCTTCTAGCTTAAAAGTTTGGCATCAGCTGGTCTAAAGTGAAATTTCAGATGTAGCCCTGGTAAATCTCACAGTGGTCATTTCCTTCTTACCACTGGATAAAACATCTATTAAATAGTTATGCAGTAGATGTGGAGTTTTCAGAGTCTGTAATTTTTTTTAATGGATGTGGGATGAGTGAGAACAAAATCCTAGTGTGTATTCCATTTTAAAGTAGTTAAATTGGCATTAGCTTTCCTCTTAAAATATTTCTGAATTGAAATTTCAAGTCTTTTCCCCACCCTCCCTGTATTTTGCTACCCATCATTTGATACTTTTAAACCATTTCTTACGGTCTTAGAGGTTTATTTTTAAAACGTTAATAAATTCTATTGTGTATATTTAAGGTAAACAATAGGATGATGTGAGATACATGTAGATTATTTTTGAGGTTTAATTTTAGGAAGTGACTCAATATGTCACTTGCCCTCCTGTAATTGCCCGTACATTTTCTTGTTCGTTTAAAGGAAGGTGAGTTGCCATTCTCAGGTGAAGCTGGACTGTGAGGGTGGCAACACTGGTACTGCTCTCAATCTTACTGCTGGTTTTCACGGAAGATTCAGTCCTGTATTTCTTGATGACCTGCAGCTGACATTGCCAGGTGCTCCACGATAAGCTTGGGGAACTTCCATTCCACACCTGGGGCACGAGTTAATTATGAGACAAGTCAGAGAATGCAATAGATGAGGAAGCACCAATTGTGCAGTGTAGATGTTAATCATGACTGGCTTTTGTAATAGTTACTAGCAAATATTGTCTATTGTGTGCCAGATACTCCGCTAAGTCCTTTACATATGTTTTATATTTAATTCCCTTGAATTTAAAAGGCATTATCCCCCTTTAAAGATAAAACTGAGGCACAGAGAGATGAAGTAACTTAGCCTAGGTCACACAGATATGAGAAAGTTGAAAATCTTGAGCGCTTAACCACAGCACACAATGTTCATTTCTCAGAAGGAACAATAGGGGTTGTAAAGGACCAGAGGAGTCTTCCTGGATGAGACATGTTTAAAACTTGAGCCTTCAGAATTTGTTTAAAACAAAAATGAGAATAGAATGGGCCAGGATGTCCCATCTTGGGGAGGAGCCGTGAGGTGAGGCTGAGGCAGCGCGTTCTTCTGTGTGGCGAGGGTTCCTGAGAAGGGCCTGAAGGGGCTCGAGGGAGAGGTGCCCAGGCGTGTGCTCCATGGCCAAGGCCTCAGCTCCCTGGTTCTCTGGATGATAAGGGGCTCTGGACGGGCTCCTTTGATCCTACCTGGAATAGCCTAAAAGACCATCTTTTAGGCCGGGCGCAGTGGGTCACGCCTGTAATCCCAGCACTTTGGGAGGCAGAGGCAGGCGGATCACAAGGTCAGGAGATTGAGACCATCCTAGATAACACGGTGAAACCCCGTCTCTACTAAAAGAAAAAAGTATAAAAAATTAGCCGGGCGTGGTGGTTGGCACCTGTAGTCCCAGCTACTCGGGAGGCTGAGGCAGGAGAATAGCCTGAGCCCAGGAGGCAGAGTTTGCAGTGAGCCGAGATGGTGCAACTGCATTCCAGCCTGGGCGACAGGGCGGGACTCCATCTCAAAAAAAAAAAAAAAAGACCATCTTTCATCATGCGTTCTTGTTGTCTGCCAGTGGTTTTCATACATGCAGACACTGACTGACCGGATTATCTGTAAAGCTGTTGAGAACCAGTCACATGTTCACTGCGGGTTGGTACCATGTTGAATCCTGTGATGGGTAGCTTGGTGGATTCGTGATCTCAGGATACATGGTTTGTAAGGATACATTGTTCCTGACTTGTTCAAAAATGTCTCCAGAGAAATCTGGATTTGATATCAAAACCAGTGTTCTCCGTTTTCAAGGAGGAAACTGGTTGAGAGAGCTGAGAGATTTGGTTTGGTAGTATTTTCTAGTGTGAAGCATTATCTTATTGTATTAGAATCAAGTCCTGCTGTAAGTACCATAGACTCTGTAATATTTTGGTTTCTTTGAATGTTGATTATACTCAGGTAGTAGAAAGACTAAACCGTTTTGTAGTATGTTGTTAATTTCAACTACAGTAAAAAATGAAATCCCAGAGGTTCTCCTCTCAGTCATTTTATGGCCATCTTGTTAGATTGCGAGATTAAAGAAGTAGACCTCAATTTACAAGTGTGGGCTGACATTCTATACCTGGCTCTTCTCCAAGAGTTGATCTCATTTTATCCAAAAACATTAGAAATCAAGCACACCAAATGTGGATTGACACAATTTAATTTGCTACATTAGTTAAGCCACAATTAACTGCGTTAAACTTCCCTGGTCTGTCTAGTGCGAGTGCTCCGACTGATAATTCTCTAAGCAAAATCTCACTTCCGGATCCAAACTAAAAACAACAGCAGCAAAACCCTTACCCTGTTTCTTCTCAGAAGTCTTCAGTTTCGTACATTTAAATTCATGGAAGTGTCAGTAGTTTTTTTTTTTTTCTCTTCCCCCAGCCATGGCTAGAAAAAAAAGACTTAAGAGTTTTTCCATAATATCTTTGTGTAGCTTCAGTTGTCAAATGGCATTTTGCTTAAATTGAAAAATATAAAATAAAGCAGCAAGTGAGGGCTTAAAAATTACAGCCAGCTTCTGCAGCTGTTGTTCAAATAAAAAACTACCAGTAAATCTTTTTGCATTAGTTACACTAAATTTGTAACAGTCTACATTGCATGAAGTTGCTGGAAGTCTCTGGGGATGAAGAAAGAGTAAATCTAACATAGAGGGAAATGATTAAAGTTGCAATATCGCTCTTTGCAAGTGAAAAGAAAATGTAGACCTCCCTTCTGGACCTAATCTAAGAACTTATAGGAAGGAAGAATGCATTTGTAAAATTTTAATGGGAAACAAAGAGTTCGATTATTCCAGTCCTACCAGGCAGAGCTTTTAATGGCATTTTGAGAGGGTCTCACTTTTATCCATCACTGTTGTTAAAATACAGACTTGAACTAGTTTGTAAATGTACAGAAAATTGCTCCTTGTTTCCCCCTCCTTTTTTTTTTTTTTTCTGTTTGAGATTTAACAGGTATTTGCCCATGTGGTATTGTGATTTAAAATTATTCAGTTTGTTTTGGCTTTAAAAACAATAATGTGTTTGTTTTAACAAGAGAAATAATCTGATTCCCTTGAGATAACTATTGTTAACAACCTTGGCTATGTCTTTTTCATGTTGCCTTCAAAAATTCACATTTGGACGAAAAGCCGTAATTTTGCCCTTTAAAATTTGATCTCGGAGGTGCTTTACAAAATGTTCTACATGGTGGTCCTTAGGAAGGATGTACTTTCTCAGATAAACGAAATTTTTTTTACTGTTTCCTTCAGTCCCTTCGTTCCCCCAAAAACCCACAACAGGGTTTTTCATGGTCTTAATTTTTGTCTATCTTGAATTTCATTTTGTGCCTGTTATGAGGATTTCTTGGGGATGAAAAGAGAACCTGCTAGTAGGTCTGAGCACGTAAATGCAGCCGTTCTGCTGCTTGTCCCTCAGGTAAATGCCGTCTTCTTTTCTAGCCATGTGAAGCGTCTGTGAGAAGGACGTCGTCTTCCTTTCCTGTGAGGAGAGTCCTTGCTCCCCATGGCCGTAGGGACAGGACTAGCCAAGCCCTTCCTTGAGACTGTCGCCTGTTTGCTTGAAGGCTGATGATTGATTTCCCGTTTCTATAATCATTAATCCGTTACCTTAAGGTGCTGAGACAAAACTAGTTGTGAGGGCCGATTTTCTGTGAAGGATTTTTTTCTTGCCTTTTCTCAATGAGAGAGATTGAGTTGGGCTTTGGTGGAAAGCACAAGTGGTCGCTAACCCCTCAAGGCACTGAGAGGATGGCAGGGTGATCTGAGAGACAGGCCAGTGCGCTGGTGGGCACCTCTGGTCTTGGAGTTGCTAGAGCCCTCTCCTCCCCACCAAGGGTGTGGGTCGGAGGGGAGGCATCCCGAGAGGGGCTCGGCTTGGTCCGCGAGTGCTCACCCAGGGCAATTGTGGGTAGAAAAGAGCCAAAGGCTTCTTGGAAAATACGGTCTTCTGCTGGGAGGGAAAGCAGAAAATAGTATCTTGCTTAACCTGTAGATAACCTGACTGAAAAATGAGAAGGAAATTGTTAAGAACTAGGAGTACTTTTGTTCCAAATAAGCCTTTTTTTTTTTTTTAAGCCTTTTTGTAGTAACAACCAAAAAAAGACTTTTTTGAAACGTGGATTACTTTAAATTTTTCACAGGAAAAGTGACTCCCTCAGTGTATTCCTTTGAAACCTGTTGTGAGAACTGGCTGCTGTCTTGGAGGGAGGGAGCTGGCTATCCCAGTGGGCATGTGTGGGCTGATTGAGGGGCACCATTGGGGTCCACTGCCTTCCTAAAGTGTTCGCTGTCACTTTAGACAATCCGGGGCTTATCTTAATGATACACAAGGATAACAGAAAGAAAAATCCACCGAAAATTGGAAAGTATTTATTTTAGCCTTTAGTGATAAAGACATTCCCAACTGGTTCTATTCAATCTGTCTACAAGAATCAAAATCAATGTGCTTGTCCTCCTCACTGTTACCCTGTTCCTCTGTGTGAGCCAGTAGGCTTAAAGTGGCAGAGAGAATCAAGGAGGTTGAATTTAAGGAGCTCACAGAAGGAAAGAAAAATTCACACACGTTGTCTCTTCCTGCACTTCAGGGTATTCCTGCCGATTGGTATCGCAGAATATGGCCCTCATCCTATTGAAGGAGGACTCTTTGGATGTAAGTAGTTTTTCAAAGTTGTATTCGCTTTGCTGTAACAGTATTAAACTCTTTGTTTCTGCTATCATTGCTAATCAGGCATCATGTTTTGCTAAAAAACAATTATGAAAAACTGTGTTTATTTTCTGTTTATATTAATATTTATGAATGGATGTCAGAAAACCTTATCTTTAAACATCAAAACAGCAAGCTTAGACTATTGCCTCGTGGTAATACTTTTATTCATCTAGAATTGTGCATTTAAAATGGGATCGTTTTGATCTGATTTAGCTTTAATCATTAAATATGAAATATTAATGGAACCTATTATGACCTACATTAAATGATGATGTTTAACTTCACTATGAGTTACTAAGGAGACATGTATGATTTTCTTTCTAGCACCGACCTTAGAATAAAGCTAATATTCAAGTGTTAAGCATTGTTTAAATTTATATAGTAAGGCCAGATTCAGGGGCTCATGTCTATAATCCCAGCATTTTGGGAGGTGGAGGCAGAAGGATCGCTTGAGCCCAGGAGTTCCAGACCAGCCTCAGCAACACAGCAAGACCCCATCTCTACAAAAAATGGAAAAGTGGGCCAGGCATGGTGGCATATGACTGTAGTCCCAGCTACTTGGGAAGCTGAGGCTGGAGAATTAATTGAGCCTGGGATGTGGATGCTGCAGTGAGCCGTGATCACAGCACTGCTTTCCAACCTGGGTGACAGAGTGAGACTCTGTCTCGAAATAATAATACATTTATATAGTAATAGGATACATGTACCCTTAATTCTCTGATGTCCCAATGCCGCCACATGAACCCACCCCATCACGGCATAAAGCCACTGAAGAGACAAGCAGTGGGAGCTGATGTGAGGGTCACCAGCAACCTGTGAAGTGGTATGATATGAAAATATGAGTTGAACAATGAGATTCCATTTGTCAGAACTTTTAACAAGGGCTTTGTTACTGGCAGGCACCCATAGCACCCTTCGAGGCAGTGTATTTAATACTTACATTTAGCCAATGCCAGGGGCAGATGGCACGGCTAATTACACTTTTAAAGGGAGGCAATAAAGTACAGAGGTTTCTATACTTGCAAATTGAGAAGGCCATAATTCCTACCATGAACACCAGGATACTCTCTACCCCTTCATGAGACCAAGGGCACGAGGCAGGAGAGAGTCCATAGTTCTGTGTGTTTCCAAGGCAGCATTGGCGAGAGGCCACCCTCTGGCGTCGGTGCTTCAGAATTCATCTTGGTACACCCCCTATCCTTGTTCATGTTGCTGCCTGCAGCAAGCCCAGAGTCCCAGCTCATACCTCATCTCCTGGAGTCTAATTCTCACATGCTCTGAGGAAACCTGTCCTCTACCCAAGTGTTTCAGTCTTCCCAGCACTCCCTCTCACACATGTCTTTGTTTTTCTCCATGGAACGTCTCGTCATTGGAAATGCTACGTGTGTGTGTGTGTGTGTGTGTGTGTGTGTGTTAATTATTGTGAAATACATCCTTTAATTGTACAGTTCAGTGGCATTAAGTATATTCATATTGTTGTGTAACCATCACCACCATCCATCCACAGAACGCTTTTCATCTTCTCAAACTAAAATTCTGTGCCCCTTTAAACAACTATTCCCCATTCCCACACCTACCTCGTCCTCTCGCAGACATTCTACTTTGTGTCTCTGTGAATTTCACAAGTCTAAGTACCTCGTATAAGTTCAATCATATAGTATTTGTGATTTTTATGACTAGCTCATTTCATGTAGCATAATGTCTTCAAGGTTCATCCATATTGTACCATGTGTCAGAATTTCCCTCCTTTTAAGGCTGAATAATATTCCATTGCATGCCTATACCACATTTTCTTGATCCATTAATCCATCAGTGGACAGTTGAGTAGCTTTCAACATTTTTTTTTTTTTTTTTTTTTTTTTTGAGACAGTCTCACTCTGTCGCCAGGCTGGAGTGCTGTGGTGCGATCTCAGCTCACTTGTAACCTCCGACTCCCTGGCTCAGGCAATTCTCCTGCCTCAGCCTCCTGAGTAGCTGGGATTACAGGCACGCGCCACCATGCCCGGCTAATTTTTGTATTTTTAGTGGAGATGCAGTTTCACCATGTTGACCAGGATGGTCTCAATCCAACTTTTGACTGTTGTGAATAGTGCTGCTATAAATGTGGATATACAAATATCTTTTTGAGATCCTGCTTCTAATTTTGGGGGACATATACTCAGAAGTGGAATTGCTGGATCATTTGGGAATTTTACATTTCACTTGGTGAGGAACTGCCATACTGGCTTTTTTACAGCAGCTGCATCATTTTATATGGTTTGTGATTTTTCCACATTCTTGCCAACACTTTTTGTTTTTAATAGTAGCCACTCTAATGGGTTTGAGAGTGGTATCTCATTGGAGTTTTGATTTGCATTTCCCTAATTAGTGACAATGGACATCTTTACCTGTGCCTTTTGGTCATTTGTATATCTTCTATGGTGAAATGTCTATTCAATCCTTTGCCCATTTTTTAATCAGGTTTTTTTTTGGTGTTATGAAATAACTTACATTTTTTTTTCTACCTCTCTTTAGTCCCTTAGACTGTAAGGTCATGGTTGAAAACCTGATTTAAAAAAAAAAAGCCGGGCATCTCCACCTTCAAGACCTTGCTGTGTAAATATTATGCACTCAGTAAATGTTGGAGTGAATGAACGAGCTTAAGATAATTTTCTAGTCATCCATAAGAACTTCTATTTGAAAGTCATGCTGATGAGATAGTGGCTACAGTAGCCATGAGGGGCTGAGCACACGTTGATGTGACTAAGAAATAGAAAATGAGGAAGCCAAGACAGCGCATCGGTGGACGGGAGAGTAGAGTGCTCCTGCAGGAGGACTCCCAGAACCCTTGGATGTGTGCACGTGCCTTATGAACACAGCCACAGTGTCTGTACTTGAGGCTTCCTTTTTTTCTGATGATTTTCTGGTTCAAAGGTATCTATAATCTTGAAAAAAGCTTCCTTTTTCTGGAGGTAACTCAGAAACGAGCCTCTGTTTTCCCCTTACAACAGACGTTCTCTGGACTCCAAGAGATGGACTCTCCATACACGTTGAGACTTCTGGTTTACCTAGACCAAAGAGTGCTTTGTGATGCCAAACTAAGAAGGTTGTGTATGGGTGTGTAGCAGACTTGCCTTAGTTTAACCTCCTAAGAATGATTCTTCCTTAACCAATTTTGAACTTCATCTCTTAGTATAATGACTGTAATGTATTCAGTATCTACTGAGCAGAGGTGCACTTTCTATGTACTGTTTTTGTTCATTATTCAAAAGGGCACTCTATATTTCTGACTAGCGTCTACTGAGGAAGATTTTCCTCCTTCCTTGCTTTCTCCTCCCTCTCATGCTTTAGTTGGGTTAAACCCATTCCTATTCTCATTAAACTTGTATTTGGTGGTGGTGAGGGGGATACAAGCGGGATTCTAGGGCAATAAATTATACAATAGAGCTTTGGTGGAACTCCCAGGTTGAGTTTTTAAGTCTCAGTGATGATGTAGACGAGACAGGGACACAGAAAAAGGCCCAACAGAAGCATTTGGCCTGGCTTCTCTTTATTTCATCTCTCATATAAGTGTGAGGGGAGAAGGGGCTAACCTCGAACCTCCAGACCTGGCCCCCATCACTTTCACCAGACCAGTAAGTATGGCCGGGTTCGGACTCCAGATACTGTAAACAATTAGGATTTGTCTCTGTGTTTTGAGTTTTTCATATGCTGCTAAAATAACATCTAAGCTCCATAATACAGATGAGATCAGTGGTCTTTGAACAAGGCAGAGTGATGGTGGTCACCCCAGGGGGACACTAGATGATATATGAAAATGCAGGAAAAAAGTTGTGATTTCCTATTTTTTCCGTTAAAAAGTATTGAGAGATTAGCTTTACTGATAATACATAAGGATTGCCACTGGCATCCCCAATTTTTTTTCCTGGCGCACTGACCAGAAATCAGTCTCAGAGAAGTGGGTAGGAGGAGGGACGCATGGCATTTTAAGTGAGAAAGGTTGCTACTGGAACTCCCACTCTTTTGTTTGCTTTTAGCCAATTGTGAAATATTGCCCTTCATGGGTACTAGTTAAATGGACTTGTGGACTAGAGTTAGTTTTCATTAAAATGACTCTCACAGATGCTGACTTAATAGAATTCCTATTAAAAAAAAGTGAATTGAGGATAACAATATTGTAAGCAGAAGCTGCAATGATTTGGCCTTGCTCAATGTGTGTGCCAGTTCCAGCTCTTCTCAGCTGCCTGATAGTTAAAACAGTGATCTGATCTGACAGATTAAGCAAATTTCAAAATTATTCACAAGATTATTGTCATTAACCATGAACTTTTGTCCTCAATGTACTTGGTATCTTGAAATATTAGGTGTGGTAACATGAAACTATAGGAATTAATGAGATTTTAAAAACTAAGAATCTTGAGTAAGAGAATAAAAATCTACAATTTTACCAGCAATTTATTTTTTGTAGAATGTAGTAATCTAATTTACTCTAAAATTTCACAAAATCTCCTGCAAATTAGTGAATGATAAATGTTTCTGTTATTTGTTAGTAAAGGACAAAAAGTGCCGAGTCACTTGGAGAGCATTTGGTTTTCCTGCTGCAATAATATAGAGAACACAGTGCAGCAATAATTAAGTCGAATATAGTGGAAGACCTATACAAAACCTTGCCAGAGTTTCTGTGTTTGTGTGTGTATTTTTAAACATTTTTTATTTCTATAGGTTGTTGAACAGGTAGTATTTGGTTACATAAGTTCTTTAGTGGTGATTTGTGAGATTTTGGTGCACCCATCACCTGAGCAGTGTACACTGCACACAATTTGTTGTCTTTTATCCCTCACCCCCTTCCTACCCTTTCCCCCAAGTCCCCAAAGTCCATTGTGTCATTCTTATGCCTTTACATCCTCATAGCTTAGCTCCCACTTTTGAGTGAGCACATACGATGTTTGGTTTTCCGTTCCTGA